GCCCTTGCCCCGTCTTCGGTCACCCCACCCGTGTCCAAAGCATGCAGGGTCATATCAGCGGCTTCCACCAATTGCTCGTTGGTTGCTTCCTTGGATCTGAACGACCCGATCTGAACCCTCCTTCGTCGCCGCTTCCCCCCAGCACCGATCATGAAGACGAACTTCAGGAGGCCTATGGGAGCCGCCATAGTTCATGAAGCGGTAGCAAGGCGGAATGCTCGTGTCGAGCACTTCCTCATCCGGATCCGCCGCCTCCACTCCTGCATCGCCCGAAGGATCTGCAGCCGGCTCGCTGCCGGCCGGACCCGCAGGAGACTTGGCCTTTGCCTTTGCCTTCTTTCCCGCCTTTGCTTTGCTTTTGCCCTTGGGAGCAGAAGCTTTCGCAGCAGCTTTGTCAGCCGCCTTCTTTCCCCGACACCTCTGCAAAGGAGCTGCAGGCTCCTTCGTATCAGCCTTCAGAGTCTTCTGCCGCATATTGTAAGTGATGTTAGCCACACTGGTATCCAACCAATCATCAGGCCCAAACCTCGCTTGCATGAAGCCCTTCTTGCCATACCTCACCTCATCCGCAACCTGCTCTGCCCCAGAGACGTTTCGGACGATCTGCCCGGACTCAGCATTCATGAAGACATAGTTCGCCGTAGTCTTCCTGACCGCTGCCGGAACGGAGGTCGCATGCTGCATGCCTTGCAGCGATCCACTCGAGCAGGCCCGGAGGGGCCTCTGCCGCTTGCTGGGGCTCTTGGCCGCCGGCTTCACGTGTACCTTCACCGGCGTCGAAGCAGCAACCGGCTGGATCATCTCGACCTCCTCGTCGTCGGAGGAAATCTCAAGAGAGCGGCTGCTAGTCGAGCCCTTACCGGCAGGCAGACTGTACAAAGCTCTCAGCCTGGCTATCTCATCCACAGGGTCATCATGAGCATCGCCTTGCTCCTGCTTCCTTTCGGGAGCAGGAGCACTAGCCTCACTTTCCATCTTCTTCAGCGTTCGGACTTTCTTTTCCCTCGCGAAGAACCCGTCCTTTTTCTGAATCTTCACATTCCTAGCAGACTTCGACCGATCACGGTCGAAATGCTGCCTCGCAATTTGAATGAGGCGAACCAATGGATCCGGCAGCTTCTTTCCCGAAGTGGTCTGCTTTAACTTTTGAAAGACATGGGCCGAGGCTCCAGAGATCTGCTTCGCAAGTGCTGTTGCAAACGTACCATCCAGATTCTGGAAGCTGCTGAGCAAGCCCTGCTCAACCAAGGTCTGTGTCACACGGGGGGTCACAGCAATCAGCTGTCGCAACAAGCTCTCGAAGTCTTCGATGAACTTTTCTATGCTCTGCGGATATTTGAACTCTGCATCCAAATCGGCGGGCAAGCTAGCTTTCAAAATCGGAACGATGTCTTGCACACTTGCCGTATTCGCCCGCCGAGGCGAAGTGACCGGCGGCATGCCATCTCTCACAGATTACCCTAAGAAAAAACCTTCCGCAAAAAACTCCGTGCAAAACAAACTGTGCACATGCAAGAGAAACATGCATGCATCCCGGACCTCCTGCAGCATGCATGCTGTGTAAACATGTGCATGTACATATATATCGATATGTATATATGTATATATGTATATATGCTTTTATGTATGCATACATGTACATGCCTATATATACATGTACATACATGTATATATACATGTATACATGTGTATGTATGTATACACATGCAAGTACATGATATGTGTATATACCCATATGTATATGTATATATATGTGTGTGTATACATGCGTAGATATATACATGCATATATACATGTATATACATACATATACATATATATATATGTGTGTGTGTGTGCATACATGTAAAATAAGTATCCACATGTCTATTTGT